GAAGAAGATAAAACATAGGTTCTGAAGATGAAAATTGAGAATTTACATGAAAATCAGATGAGATCGATTGCTGTGATTTACCTGTTCTGATCGGATGGAGAGAGAACGATGGAATTCCTGAGAGAGAATAAACAAGACGGAGATATACACTTGCGCAAGGAGTAAAGGATCAATCAATTAGTAGATATTTTTTTCCAATAAAATACAAAACGAAAGATAGATTAAAAAAAAAATGTTATCTTTTCTCATATGGAATCATTTCATTGGACAGCTGTGGGCATTTGCATTTTCCAGAACAGACTGTCACTTCGCTTGAGCATCTTAAGATTAACTAATAAAAAATGAGAGTAGGGTAAACCTATCTTCCTTATTTTCCCAGAAAAGTCGCATTCAGAATTCTCATTTACATAGTTAAAAACTTTAATAAATAAAAAGGAAAGGTGAACTTTAAATTTTTATTTTTTTATATATATAAGGTTAAATTTCCTTTTTGGTCCCTCAACTATTACATAGACTTATGATTTAGTCTCTAAGTTGAAAAAATCTTTGATTTAATCCTTACTATTTACTATTTTAGCCCACACTTAGGCTTTCCGTTAAAAATCATGTGACGTGTTCGGTTAATTTATAGCAAAATAATGACATGTTAAAGTTTTAAATGCACGTGGAAAGATTATATGGCAAACATGGATAAAAATAATGATATGGAAAAAAAATATTGATATAACGAAAAAAAATCTTAATTTTTTTTCCTTCTCTTTTCCTTTCTCTTTCCCGGGGTCCTAGACTTTTTCAAACCCAACAAACGCTGGGTTTCATAGAACCTGATGGCTGCTGCGTTCAAATGCATGGGTTCCAGCCACTGGAAACCAACACACCTAGGATCCAACGGTTGGAACCCAACAGTCGTTGGGATCAAATGTGTGGGTTCCAGTTAGGGATGGTAATTTGCCCCGATCCCTGCAGGACCCCGTGGGGATCCTCGCCACGGGGATGGGGCGAGGAAGAATATTCCTCCCTACGGGGTGGGGATGGGGGGCATTTCCCCCCCGTGAAATTTCGTGGGGATCCACATCCCCGCGAAAAATTAAAAATAATAAATTAATTTTATTTTAAATTTAATATAATTTTAAAACCCAACCCAATTCAATAAAGTTTAACCCACCCCAAAGCTCAACTCAAAGCCCAACCCAATCTTTTTAACCCTAAGCATCCTTTTAACCCTAGGCAACCTTATTTGTTTCTCCATTTCTGCAGTGACTGCCCCTGCCTCTCACCCTTCGACTCTCTTACACACACACTCACTTAAGTCATCTTCCACCTTCCCTTTTGGCCCTCCCTACAAATCTCAAACCCTAAATCCCTCAATCCCTTCATTGCCGCCTTTCTATCCTTCTCTATTTCACATCTCACCCTTCTGCCTGGAACTGGAGTCTGGACTGCTGCTGCCAAACTAAATCCGTATGCGCCACTGTCCCATCACAGCTACGCCACGCTGCTACTGCTACTCAAAGTTGAAGTCGAAGTTGATTTGCTGTGATTTTGATTATGTTTGATCTAAAAAATGTATATTTAGATATTAATTAGTGGGGAAGGAGGGAATGGGGATGGGGGGCAAAATCTACCTCTCGTCAAAAATCCCTGCGAGGATCCCCATCCCCGCAGGGCCCCGTTGACATCCCTAGTTCCAGTCAATGTTTTTGGACCCGGCCTGGCCCGACCAGTTGAACTGGACCCGGGCCTGAAAACGGGCCAGTTGAAGGCTTTAGCCCGTTTAGGTAAATGGCCCGTTGAAACCCGTCAAGCTTGTCGTGCCTGCGGAACTCATGCGACCTGTTACAACTGGCCGGGCTGAAATTTTCACCATCTTTTTTTTTTTTTTTGAGGAAAGGTAATTAGCAATGTACTAGGGAAACTGCCATACGGCATCTACATCCAAACCTTATCCAAAAGGATAAGGGTAACAGACAAAGAAAAGAACAAACTGGAGAAGTAAAGCAGAGTAGACCCGATGCATAGGAGGAAGGGAGGTGAAGTCACTCGAGCAACCTTTGGTCAACCGATCTAGCCATGGGACACCCTTCAATCTACTCCGGAGAGGATGGCACAAAATCTCCAAGACGCCGTGGCAGAGATCCAGGCCAACGGTGGCCAGATCTGGAAAATCAACG